TATTGATATAAGTAGCATACACCACAATACTAGAGACAGAAGCGTATATATATATATTGTCTACTTACCAATATATACACTTTATTAATTATTTTCACATACAAACGAATATGTCATTCAATGATTTTCAGTAAATCATTGTAGATATTTTCTTTCATAAAAACAAAAATTGAGTCGATTTTGATAGAACTATACGTATAGTATGGATAGTAATTTAGGATAAAAATCACAACTAAATCACTCTTTGGAATTATTATTATTATTATTATAGGAATGATTATGACTTCCTGATGAAATGACCTCCGCATTTTGAGTAATCACTTATATGTTCATTGATGAGTGCTTGTATGTGTGTGAGTGTGTGTATTCAACGATTAATTTACCACACCGATTTTCTTTTTTTCCTTTTTCATCATTAAGATAAGGAAAAACATTCCCTTTTTTCTCATAGTAACTAAAATTTGAATTTTATTTCCTCTTTTTTTCTTCTAAATTCTTCCTTACATGTTGTCACTTTATTTTTTAAAATAAAACAATAAGAAATTCTTTTATATTTCTGTGGCTAAAAATAACAAAACAAGAAGAGAAAAATATTGATGATTAAAATGGTAATGATAAATTGGTTGAGATGAGAAAAGTGAAAGAAAAAAGTATTTTTAAAAAAATGAAATCAATGGTGTTGACTATGTATTCGTATAATCAATCATGATTGTTTTGAATATCTTAGCGATAGAGTTTCCGGCAATTTATGTCAGTAGGACACTCGTTAATTATCTATCTGTCTATCTACCTATATGTGCTTTCTGGTAATAATTTTGTGTTTACAGAGTATTTGATAGAACTGCAAAGATACTCCACATTCTCTTCAGTAAGATTTGGAATGAAGAACAAGTACTAAGAGACTGAAAAAAGAATACCTCATCAAGATACCAAAGAAAGGAGATTTCAGCAAGTGTGAGAACTAAAGAAGCATCACTCTTCTTTCAATACTAGGAAAAATCTTCAACAGGGTACTGTTAAATAGGATGAAGGACTCCGTAGACGTCCAACTTCGAGACCAACAAGCTGGACTCCATTAGGATAGATCGTGTACAGACCAAATCTCAACATTATGGATCGTTGTGGAACAATCAATTGTGTGGAATTCATCACTCTACATCAACTCCATTGACTACGAGAAAGCATTTGATAGCATAGACAGAACAACACTATGAAGGCTTCTTCGACGCTACGACATTCCTGAGAAAATAGTCAATATCATACGGAATTCTTATGATGGATTAAACTGCAAAATCGTGCGTGGAGGACAAATGATAAAGTCGTTCGAAGTAAAGACCGGTGTCAGGCAAGGTTGCTTACTCTCACCCTTTCTCTTTCCTCTGGTGATCGACTGGATCATGAAGACGTCAACGTCTGAAGGGAAGCGCGAGATACAATGGACATCTAAGATGCAGTTGGATGATCTAGACTTCGCAGATGATCAAGCCCCTCTATCCCAAACGCAACAACAGATGCAGGAGAAGACGAACAGTGTGGCAGCAGACTCAGCAGCAGTAGGTCTCAATATACACAAAGGGAAAAGCAGGATTCTCCGATACAACACAGAATGCACAAATCCAATCACAATTGACGGAGAAGATTTGGAAGATGTAAAAACCTTTACATATTTGGGCAGCATCATTGATGAACAGGGTGGATCTGATGCAGATGTGAAGGCGCGGATCGGCAAAGCAAGAGCAGCATATTTACAACTGAAGAACATCTGGAACTCAAAACAACTGTCAACCAACATCACGGTTGGAATTTTCAATACAAATGTCAAGACAGTTCTACTGTATGGGGCGGAAATTTGGGGAACTACGAAAGCCATCATCCAGAAGATACAGGTGTTTATTACCAGCTGTCTACGCAAAATACGTCGGATCTATTGGTCAGACACTATCAGCAACAACCTAGTGTGGGAGAGGACAAACAAGATCCCAGTGGAGGAATAAATCAAGAAGAATCGCTGGAAGTGGGTAGGACACACATTGAAGAAAGCATCCAACTCAGGCAAACTATAATCGACTCAGATCTAAACTGCTCATCAGTGTATTCAAGAAAAGTTACCTTAGTTATGATTTTTTAATTGTGTGTACTACAAACGAAATTTTTTATGTAATTTAAATAGAAATTACTTTTTATGGCTTTTGTAAAATATCTGTTGAAAGGTTAACATTAAATTTACTTGATGTTGTTTTACTTATATCATCTCATTGTTATTTAGGACTGCAATTGATCAGTCTCATGTTGGCATATGTGCATACTGTGTGGATTGCCTCGATATAGCCTTAAGTCACAAGATTTTTAAGCAAAGATGAATAGTGGCTAGCAGTGGATAACGCGATGGCGTTTAAAGCAAACGATAATGGGTTAGAGTCCCAGAGTGAACATCAACTCTGAGATGCAGGTACACCCAGCTGACGAGTCCCAAATAGGACGAAAGGCGCATCCTGGATTCCACTACTAGCCACTATCCATCTCTGCTTAAAAAGGTTAACATTAGCCATAAGATTTAAGTTATGTGTGAAATAATGTTGAATTATTATTTATTTAATTGGTCCTAATTGAGATCGTATTGCATACTCATTTACACGTATATTTAGTCATCTAACCAACTCGCTAATTTGTCTTATTGATAAATCCCTTGCAAGTTTAGTTAAAAGTAGTTATCAAACTGATTTTGTAGTCAGTAATGCCCTCAAATGTCCTAGTACGGTCGAGAGTAAGGATAATCCGCTATCTCTTTCGAAATGCTCTCACATGGCCACGCGTATACAGCCACTGACAGGGAAGTACTACTCACTGCCTTCTCGTGATGGGGATGTTTTTACGAAATTGAGAGGACGAAAAGTGAATGTGCAGCGCTTTGACAGGGTTGGTGGACATGAACATCAACCTAGGGGAGTTGGAAAACCCTCATTTCAAACCAATGGTGCATATGGCCTCCAGTATCCTGAAAGAATAAATGGTATATGAACCAACCGTTGGTCACTGGCTACTATCGGACTGAATTTCCTTACGTTTCTTCACTGCGTTATTTATCAGACCTTTAGGTTGAAAGCTCCGGTTGTGGCCCCTAAGAAAAGCACGTGCTTCGGTTTTGGAACCCGGAAAGTATCACAGCCCTCAAACAAATCTAATAAGATTTGTGTGGCGCATATGTATTCGGTGCCCCCTTATACCAATATCTGTGTGTTCAAATAAATAAATAATAAGTCAGTAGTCTACTAATAATTTAAGAGGACGATAACAGTATAAAGTTAATCGATTGGTGTCAAAAATGAGAATCAGTGAATTTTCAACTAACCAACAAACTCTATTATGCTCACATATGATTGAAGTGAGTTGAACTAGAAATAAACATTTCAGGTCATCAATTACATGGGTAGAAAACTTTTTACTACAGATTTTAATTCATGCTGTGAAAAATAGAATAAATAATTTCCTTTATTCTTGAATTGTGGTAAAATCATTTTATTAGTATTTTTCGGAGATTTCAGTTGTTTAGATCCATATTTCAGATAACTAACAGTTCCTGATAATTAAAATCTAATGGCTTGTTAAATATAAGGTGTTATGAGTAGACATTAGACCAAGTCTCTATTATCGATATGAATGATCTCCTATAGTTGTGTCAGTTTGCCCAGTATTTCAACATTATGAGATACTGTGAAATACTCGTCTATGTTACACTAGTATTAACTAAATATGTTGTATACCTATTTATATTTCATACTGTTTTAAGAATATACATATATACATACTAACTGTATTGTTTATGATGTGCAGTAGTTATGAACTGATGCCACTTTGTGAATCGTAGCAAATCGTCAGAAAACACTGGATAATTGTCTTATCCAAAATAATAGATAACAGTTGTATATTCTCTAGTGACTGGTATGAAGATAAATTTATAAACTTTGAGAGTGAACAACGGATACAATATTGATGATACTGGGTGAGGTCGTTGTACAATGTCGAAAAATGACAGGTTTAATAATTATATACCATACAATCATATATTAGTGGTCTGAATGCAACATTTTCGCTACTGTGGGATTCTTTTAAAGATTGTCGGTTAAATTCTCGTGGACAGTAATTGATATCCAGTGATAAAGAATAAGGAATTGAGGTAAATTAATACTATTGATAAAACAATCCGGCGAGACTATAACTTATCGATGAACCAATCACGTATAAGATAACGGGTCTCGGATTTTGGCGCGAAATTCACTCATCGATTTGGCAAAATAGAGTTTTGGCATTATAGCTAATGTCAGTTCGTGATGAAAACCTTAAATATAATTCTTAACCTTAATCGTCAACTGTAAATCATAATTCGAATTCCTCACACTAATTTATAACCCTCATTTGGTCCTAGATATTAGGCGAACACTCTCAAGGTCATTCCAGCGTCGCTCACATGTCGTCCATAAATTATAGTCACCCCAACAATCCTTAGTAAAACCGGTTTTATTATATATGTATATTTTATTCTAACATAGAAAGTCAGTCTACAGGAACTTGTATTGTTTAAATACTTGTATATATATAAACATTTCCATTTACTGTATTCTATGACCTGAAGTAATCTTTTCAAACAAAAATAACTGATGAAACGATCCATGACGAAACTAATACACGTGACAGAAAAGGATAGAAAGAATATATAAATAAATGATCATTTCCTCCTGTTTTATCCTAATTTTTCTTAGATAATTATTGTGTTATAAACATATACATGTATATATCATAATACTGATTTGGAATTCATACAAACGAAAACTAATTTCCTTTCCAAACTCAACTGTCCTTCTATAATTTTGTATTCAATGACCGATAGATCAGTCAACGTGTATGAAATGAATCAAAGTTGATGAAATCAAATTTTTGTTTTATTTGAAGACGATAAGAAAATGAATTATGAAATTCTATTCAAAATTAATGAAATGTAGGATATGCCCCATTTTATCCAACGTTATACACTCTCTACTACTACTACTACTACTACCACTACCAATACTACTACTACTACTACTACTACTACTACTACTACTACTACTACCAATACTACTACTACTACCAATACTACTACTACTACTACTACTACCAATACTACTACTACCACTAATACTACTACTACTACTACTACTACTACTACTACTACTACTACTACTACTACTACCAATACTACTACTACTACTACTACTACTACCAATACTACTACTACTACTAATACCAATACTACTACTACTACTACTACTAATACTACTTCTATCAATAATAATAATAATGACAATGATGCATAGAACGAATATTGGGACATGTGTCTCCAAGTTCATTTATGATAATAATTATCGTGTCATGATTATATTATTGAATATATATATATATATATATATATATATATATATATATATATATATATATATATATATATATATCAGCAGAGAAACTCAATCATCTCACCTTTTTCAACCTTTTCTTTTTATTCAATTATTTCACTTCATTTTATAGATGAACTAATTCTCTGTTAAGAGGTATAAACAATTCGTAGAATATTTTCTTCTTATTGAATATTAACTATTATAATCTTTATTAATTGGATAGTTATGGATAATAGTAAATATTCATAATACAGGAGAATGATTTAAAGTGATATTATAGTATTTAAGTTGGATATTTTAATGATGAAATTTAAAATTGTCACCCGTTGAATTGACTATTCAAACAGATTATTAGCGTAAGACATGATTGACTAAATTATAATATATAATACAATTTGAGATATCAGTATGGGGGTGTGGAGATCGATGTTAAACCACCATGGAAAACCTAGAAGCACTGGACGGTCGTTTTGTCCTATTGTGGGACGCCTCAGCAGTGCGCATCCACGACCCCACTCGCAGGATTCCAACACAGGGCCTTCAGTCTCGCACGCGAACGCTTAACCTCTAGACCACTGAGCCAGCTGGCATCCAACGATGATAATGTCAAGCCTCAATCGATCCACACAATAGGACGAAACAGCCGTCCAGTGCTTCCAGGTTTTCACTGGTGGTCTCACATCAATCTGTTCATGATCTCAATCAAAAACTTAATAATCTCCACATCCGCATACTGATATCTCAAATTACATTATATATTATAATTTAGTCAATCATGTCTTACGCTAATGATTTGTTTGAATAGTCAATTCAACGGGTGACAATTTTAAATTTCATCATTAAAATATCCAACTTAAGTACTATAATATCACTTTAAATCATTCTCCTGTATTATGAATTTTTACAATTATCCATCCACCGACAAAATCTTATCTGACAGAGAAGTTGTGGAAGAGATGGACTCTTTCATGTACCTAAACAGCATCATTGGTGAATAAGGAGAATCTGACGCAGACGTAATAATAAGGACTGGCAAAGCAAGGACAGCATTTCTACAATTAACGAATATGAGGAACTTAAAACAACTGTCAACCAATATCAAAGTCACACTCATCAATACGAACGTCAAGACAGTTGGTTTTATTGTACGGAGCTGAAAATTGGAGAACAACCATAACCATCATCAAAAAATAACGGGTATTCATAAACAATTGTTTACACAAGATACTCAATGTCTGTTGACCGGATACCATTAGCAACAGCCCACTATGGGAGAGAATAAACCAGCTTTCAGCTGGAGAGGAAATTAGGAAGAGAAGATAGAGGTGGATAAGACATACATTACGGAAATCCTCGGACTGCATCACAAAGCAAGTGTCAACTTGGAATCCTGAAGGGAAACGAAAAAGAGGAAGGCCAAATAACACACTATGTTGGAAATTGGAAGTAGACATGAAAAGGATGAATAGCAGCCGGAAACGACTGAAAATAATTTCTTAGTACAGAGTAGAATGGAGGACACTAGTGAGAGGCCTATGCTTCTTCTAGAGGGGTAAATAACATGAGTAAGTTGTGTCAAAATGGTTATATCAATGGTATCGACACAGGTTGCCCTTATGAAAAGCAAGAATGATCGAATTTCCGTTAAAAATATCAATATAGAAATAATCCAAACCATTTCAAATTAAATTAACTTTGATGCCCATTGCACAAGTGAGCCGCTATCTGGACACAGTAACTAAATGGATAACTTGATGGCCTTTAAAGTAAATGGCCTTAGAGTGAATAGGCAAATACAGATGATGAGTCCCGAATTGGATGATAAGCTCTTCCTGGATTCCACTATTAGTCACATTCAATCTTTTATATATCAAATTGAAGTGTATATATTCAGCATTAAGTTTATGGTGGTTTTTATTGTATTCTAATTGTAAGCCCTTCTCATTTGATCCGATGATTACCATTAATGAAACATAAATGTATTACTCAGTATTTTCGTACCACAAATATCTTAGTTGTGAATACAGTGAAAGTATTTATGTTTTTATCACAGGTTGTGGTCTGATATCTGATGTCTTCAATAAAATAATCTTCTAGGTCTAACATAATATAAATGATAAAAGAATATGATGTATTTGGCTGTTTTTTTCTAGTGTTCTGTTTCATGCTTTTTAGACTGGATTGGATTTAAGCAGAATATCAATCGGTGGAGTATAAAGTAACAGTGTTAATGAACTCATTATCAATTTGTTTTAGTTCAAATCACAACAAAGAGCTATGGGACTTTGTATGTAGGCGTCTAATAGCTTATTTATTCGACAAAAATTCTATTAATTATTATCATTATATACATATTTACTTTGACTACCTATGTGTTTCTGATAATATTGTTATTGTTTAGAAAGACAATTATAGTTTTACAATTGAACTACCTATTCGGCTACGAAATATTAACTCTATCAAAATCACATTTAATACAAAGCTATGATGTGAATAATTTCTTTGAACTATGTAATTTATGATTGAGTAAGTTACATAAAAGGGAAATAAGAGATTTATTCGACAGTGATCACAAAATTGATCCATTTGCAATTCATTTAAAGTTATCTATTGAATTCCATCTAGCCTAACTTCTGCTTCCAAATTTCTTATTTTTACATATAGCGTAAGTTCTAGGAATTCACAAACACAAATTTCCAACCTTGATATCCAAAAATGTTCATACGACCAATTTTTTGTCTATACTGATCGTATGCTTAATTTTAAGCTTGATATATACTTAGTGATTGTTATCTATGTCTGTCACTTTTGCTAGCTAGAATAGATCTATCGAAGTTTTTATATGTAAATTGAGGTATTTAAGAAGTGGAACACAAGTAGTTTTTGGTAAGCATTATTTTAAGAATTCCATGTTAACATAGTTGGTATAGTCAGCAAGATGTCCTTTCAATCATGATCACCCGGTATCATGGTCAGTGACGATCCTAATACCTCAGTGACAACACCTCAGTTTGTTTATTTTATTTAAACACATAAATATTAGTACAAAGGGGCACCGAATACATATACGCCACACAAGTCACTTCATTTGTGTGTGAACTGTGATACTATCTGGGTGCCCAGACCAAAGCACGTGGTTTTCTTAGGGGCCACAACCGTAATCATCAACCTAAAAATCTGATCCACAAGGCAGTGCAGCAACGTGAGGAGATGCAGTCACATGGTAGCCAGTGACCAACGATTGGTTCATATACCGTTTGTTCCTTCAGGATACTGGAGGCCATATGCACCATTGGTTTGAAATGAGGGTTTTCCAACTCCCCTAGGTTGATATTCATGTCCACCAACCCTGTTAAAGCGCTGGACATTCGCTTTTCATACTCTGAATTTCGTGAAGAACATTAATGCCACGAGAAAGCAGTGAGTAGTACTTCCCTGTCAGTGGCTGTATACGCGTGGCCATGTGAGAGCATTTCGAGAGGGAGAGTGAACTTTAATACCTTAGTGATAACACCTCAGTTCATTCAAGTCATTATATATGACTTGCTGTTAAGCATCAGCTAGAACAGAATCTAAAGTAACGGCCTCTTGGAGATTTCCTCCAACAATCCAACATAAAAATAGAGACTTCACACATTTTTAAATTATTTTCATAGATAGAGTTCGACAGAAAAAATATATATACCGAAGATGTTGAAATTGTTTTTCTTCATATGTGATATAACCATTTAATAAAGCATAAGTAAATAGTTTATATCACGCGAATTGATCCGCTTGATTGAATAAGTAAATTTCTAAATGCAATCAACGATTGTTTATTAGGAACGATGAGAATATTTTTGGTTTCTGTTATTGTTGTTTTTGAATGAAATTTATTTCATTCTTAATCAATGCAACATTTGAATATGTGGTTTAAAATAGAATACTGTACATAGATACACACTTGGTTAACTTAATGTTCGTGCTTGTTGATGCTCAAAAGTAGAATATATAAATAAGTTACCTATGAAGCAGAGTATCTAAAATCCTCTGCTCAATACCACAGTTAAAGGTATTACTAGTTAGTTGTACTTTGTGAAAAACCGAATTCCAATTGTGAAAAGTCATCACTAGATCAGTAGTTTAAAAGTTAAATGATTGTTGCGAGGTCTCTTACAAAGATAAAACGGATGCCCAATGGTCCCATGGGTCTCAACAATTCTTAGAACCATTTTTTAAAGTTCTTTAAGACTACCACTTACACAAATTTAAACTAAATATTTACAATACATACATGACAGTAAGTCGTATATTTTAGTCGATCTGAATGACTAATATGAATCGTCATGACTCATTCCTTCATTCATTGTGATATATATAACTTATCAGTTAATAATTAGGCATTTTAACTACGGTCTTCCGGTTATTTTACTCTATCATTAAACAGACTACAATCAGTAAACATTGTGTTGAAATTGACCGGTTACATGGTCTAAAAGGTGGTTATTTTCTAAAAGGAAATTCAGAAATATTATGATATGAAAGTTATCTACGGCCTATGCTCCATTGGGAATAACAGGCGTAAGGAAGTAAGTAAGTAAGAAAGTTATCTAGCATGAACCTACCATTTACAGGCAGTTTTCGTCACGAACCTACATAGATTGAGGAACCATTAATTGTAAGACTGTATTAATCAGTGTAATGAAAATGTCATGGTCATTAAAAGATTTAAAGATCTTTGGTTTCGATTCTTTGTAGACTCATAAATTTTCAGTAATGAAGAATCTTAAAGTTGACAAAATGTTTTTGCAGAGATATTATGGATTTCAGAGACTTTTCAACTTATGTCATTCTTCAGTAGACGACTTTTAATCCCCAAGATTTGAACAGCCAAGCATTGTCTAGTTATACATATTTCATGTATTTTATTTTTAAACAAGAAA